TTTCCTTTAATAAATCCTTTTTGACCGTGTTCACGGCTCACTTGCCTGCTTCCCGGATCGCCCGGACACTCAACCTGACAGAATGACAGACCTCGATGAAGACTCGCCTCCGCAAGCCGAGCGGCGGCGCCTCGGCTTACTACAGGAGGTGGTGTTCTGGCTAAATCAGCCCGAGGTCCAAGAGGACCCTGTAGTTAGCTAGCCGGAGCAGGACGCTCCTTAGCGAGATGTCCCCGCACGGAGACGTGCACGTGATGGAGGAGGTACAAGCAAGCCTCCGGTGAGGACGCCCGTTACGCGGTCCAGAGCAGGGACTGACGCCCCGTCGCCCGTCGTCACGGAGACGGCGCAGCCACCGCCAACCCCAAGCTGGAGGAAGAAGAGGCGTAAGGAGAGGGCATCAGAGGAAGCCCTAACCATCTGCCTGGGAGCCGCTTCTCTCTCCTCTGCTTCGCTGATCACCATGAACATCACCTCGGAAGGCACCGACACGGAGGTACCTTTGCGGGCAGCTTCCCCCTTCCGGGGAACGCGGCTAGCCCTTAAAGGGGCCAGGGCCGTCTTGGAGGCGATTCCCCGGATCCCCAAGGCCCTTAAAGGGGCAGCGCCTGCACGCCCGGCGCCGATCCTGGCGCCTACTCCGGACCTGCCAGCAGCACCGGCTGCTGCTGCCGCCGCACTGCCCGCGACAACGCCTGCAGCACCAGCTGCTACTGCCGCCGCTCTGCCCGCGGCACTGCCTGCTGCTGCTGCCGCCACTCTACCTGAGGTGCCTACTGCGGCGCCCCCTGCTGGCCACGTGAAGGCGGCGCCCACCGAGGCGCCCCCGGCTGGCCGCACGCCTGAGGTGCCTGCGGAGGCGTCCCCTGTTGGCCGCACGTCCTCTGCCCGAGGCCGCCGTTCCTGTCCTGCCCGCGGCCCTGCCCGAGGCCGCCTCTCCTGTCCTGCCCGCGGCCCTGTCCGAGGCCGCCTCTCCCGTGCAGCCCTGCTCATCGGTCTAGCTGGTTCCGGACCCGCCTGTTCCTGACCCGCCTGTTCCCGTCCTGCCCGCAGCTCCAGCTGCACCGCTTCCTGCAGCTGCCACCGCTCTGCCCGCGGCACCGCCTGCTGCTGCTGCCGCCGCTCTGCCCGCGGCACCGCCTGCTGCTGCTGCCGCCGATCTACCCGAGGTGCCACGTGAAGGCGGCGCCCACCGAGGCGCCCCCGGCTGGCCGCACGCCTGAGGTGCCTGCGGAGGCGTCCCCTGTTGGCTGCACGTCCTCTCTGCCCGCGGCCCTGCCCGAGGCCGCCGTTCCTGTCCTGCCCGCGGCCCTGCCCGAGGCCGCCGTTCCTGTCCTGCCCGCGGCCCTGCCCGAGGCCGCCATTCCTGTCCTGCCCGCGGCCCTGTCCGAGGCCGCCTCTCCTGTCCTGCCCGTGGCCCTGTCCGAGGCCACCTCTCCTGATCTGCCTGTCTCGCCTGTCCTGCCGGCGCCTGATCTGCCTGTCTCGCCTGTCCTGCCGGCACCTGATCTGCCCGGCTCTCCCTTCCAGCCAGTCCTGTCCCCGGCTCCGGCTGCACCGCCTGCAGCCACGCCCGCGGCTCCGGCCGCACCGCCTGCGACCGTGCCTGCTGCCTCATCAGAGGCCCTGCCTCTATGTCCCCAAGCCCTAATGAGTCCTTCGCCCTTGCCCCGACAAGGCCGGCACCCCCCGGGACCCCGCCTTTCAGTGTCCCGCAAGGGACGAGGACAATGTTTAAATGCTCATTAAATTGGTTCTGTTGAGAATTCTCACTGTCCCGCCCACCCTGCCCCCTGGGTCGCCCATTAGGCCCCTGGCTGTGGCTCGGTGGCTGCCTGCGGGTCCTGCGGCGCCGGTTCGGCTCTCGCCTCTGGGTCCCCCTCCGGTGCCTCGTCGCCTACCTACGGTCCCTCCGTCGGTGCCTCGTCGGTCGCCTCCGGGCCCCCCTGCTCCGGCTGGGTGTCGGATGGCGCCTTCCCTGGCTCCGGCTGCGCCTTCTCCTGCCGCGGCTTCCCCCGTCTGCCTGCCTGCGCCGCTGTTCCCTCCTCGTTTCCTTTGTCGGTCCCTCCATCTGTCTCCTTGCCCCCTGTGTGGTCCCCTCCGGCTCCGGCCTCCCGTCCGCCTGTGGCCCCTGCAGCTGCCTTCCCTCGCCCGCCTGGGTTCCCCCGGGCTCCCCTTTGTCCTCCGTCCGTTCCTGTCTGGTCTCCCCTCTCTGCTCCTCTGCCCTCTGTGTCTCCTCTGTTCGCTCCTCGTCCCTCTGTTCCTCCTCCGTTCACTCCTGGCCCCTTCGTGTCGCCTGTGGTTGTTCCCTCTGTGTCCCCTTTCTCTATTTGTCTTTCCGCGTTTCCTGTTCTTTGTCGCGTCCTGTCTTTCGGTTGGTCTTTGTTCCAGCTCTGTGTCTCGGTCCTGTTTCCCTGGTCTCGTTGCTGTTTTTGCTCTTGTTTTCCAGGTCCTGTTTCCCCGGTCTTGTCTCGTCCGCCGCCTCCCCTGAGGCGCGCCCGGAGTGCGCGCCTTTGGGGGGGGGGTTCTGTCACGATCTGCTCCGTTCGATCCTGATGTGTGCCACGCCCACCTCGTTACCTCGTGTGATTACCGATTATCACCTGTTACCTGTTCTTTCCTGCTTGTCTTGTATATTTAGTCCGCGTCTGAGTTAGTTTCCCCAGGTCTGTCATTGACGTCGTTTGTTGTGAAGCTCCCCTGGCTGCTTTGTTTCCTTTAATAAATCCTTTTTGACCGTGTTCACGGCTCACTTGCCTGCTTCCCGGATCACCCGGACACTCAACCTGACAACAGTAGCTTATACTTATGCATATTGTGGTTCTGCCTCAGTGGGAAGCACACTATATCTAAGCTATGTAGATGACATTATCTTTTTCAATTTTTTTATCTGAATTATTACACCTAATGCCAAGGTAGGCAATTTAGGAAAGCTCTGAATAATATCAAAACAGACTAAATGCTGAGAAGATATTCACCCATCTGAAACATGCCAAATCCAAAGAACTCAAGGCTCAAGGGTGTGTATCTCTGTGGGATCGGGACTCAGAAGTTTGCTGGGTTAAGTCCCATGGCTGGGAGAGTGATGTCACCAAGTCAGGGAAGAGATCCCCTGTCTTTACTGCAAATACCTGCTGCATCTGGAGCTGCTTCTGATGATAAATGTACTTTGCGAGCCCATACTTCACATTCTCCATTCTCCAAAACTGCCAGATGCAAGGCTGTGATGTCATTGCTGAAGAAAATCTCAAATGTTGGGTGGAAATTTGGGCCAAAGTTCCAGAAAAACACTTGTGACTGAAAGAGAGAAAAAAAACAGTTTTTATTGTAATAAAAACTCCAGAAGAAATAAAGACTACACAATTTCCTATGGATTTACAGTGGTTATGAAGACTTGAATACCATATATAGGTGCTGGAATTATTTATATAAAATTTTAAATTCACATATGATGCTTATTACCTTAGGCTGGATTTCATGATGTACTTCAAGTTCTGAGGTAACACTGTATTTTTGGTTTGGAGTCAAGGTGCAATCTGAGCTGGTTTTTATGTACATGCACTCTTTGTGCTGCTCGCTTACCTGTAGATACACACAAAAATATACAAAAGACAAGTACCTTTAGTTATCGTGATTTAAAGTACATTGTCTGTTAACAAAGTCCATTCACAGATAAGTACTAACAACTATTAAGTCAAACTAATAAACACAGTGGCAAGCTTTAATACAGGAAGTATAGGTCCTTTCACATCAAAAATGTTTTAAAATTTAAAATTTGTGAAATCTTGATATTGGCTGATTTTATTGTCCAGTCAACATATTGGGGTCCCAGCCCAAATGTCTTTGTCCCTTTGATACAGCAGGTTTTTTTGGCTACTAAGATTGAGTTAATGAGACGACTTTTCCTTACTACTCCTTTTCCTATTTGGAAAATCTCAGAATGGGACCTAATTTGAAAATGTAGCTGGACAACTCAATGCCTGATATATAAAGATTGAAATATAAGCTTCACATAAGTCTAGTATGGTAATCTCAGAATTGGTTGTGGTTGTTGGGCCACTATTATAACAGTAAAATCAAGTGATGGGTGTAAACTGACATAGAAGGTATATGGAACTTGATTAACAATAAGGCTGATTACCTGGCTAAGCGGCACATTGGAGGGTAACAGGAACACATATATCTGTTTCTGAGTAGTGCTTCTGCGTGGCTGGAAAAGTAACACTTGCCCACGGACGCTAGACGTAATTAATGATAATATACTTCTAACGATGCCAAACAGAGAGAGATCCTGGACATGTATCTTCACATGAGTGTCTGTTACTGCCAAGGGCTTCAGCACCTCCATATTTCCATCACAGAAATGGGCCACAGACAGGTGCTCTCGTCCTTCTACTGGAAAAAAGACAGATGGGATCCAGTCACAAGGAATGTTACTAAATAATATTAACAGTGATTATTTTGTATAAGTATTTTATCATGAAAGTATTGATTGGCTTCATTAACAGTAAATATGAAGGACTGCAAGATTATAAACAATACAGCTAACCCTGATATTTCTTCACTATGCTGTATATTTTTTCACTGACTCCCAAGTGTTCTAGAAGTTCATGTGACTGTCAGATTGAACATTATGTATAAAATAAAAAACTGACACAATAAGACTCCAGTTACATAATTCACTGTTACAAACTCACCATCGGCCTCACAGTGCGGAAGCTGCAGTGAACAAAGCCCTTTCTCAGGATTCTCGATGTTGAACAGGGGCCCTGCAGGTTCATAACCAGCAGTTTTCAAAGTAGCCTCATCCCAGTAAGTGGGGCTGTACTCCACCTTGCCTGCTCGCTTCATAAGAAACACCAGCCCTGTCGCACTGCACTGAAAGTGCCCTCCTGATTCACAGCTGAGGCTATACAATCGAAAGAGAGATGGTTGGGAACAAGGGAACAATTAAAGTGTGCATGAGGATGGGATGTTATGGGTCTCAAATCTATGTTTATAGAGTCATATTAAATTGTTCAACATATTAAAAAATCAGCAGAGACATGAGAGAGGAAAGATTAAGCTGAGTACCTGTAGCAAAATTCACCATTATGAGAATTTAAATCTGGTTTGAGTTCCACTGTAATTTGGCCCTAAGAAAAACAAGAATAAGTGGTTGGAATAGAAAGCCTTTGTGTACATACCAAACTGTATTTCTTTCCAAATCAGTTTGGGGGGGGGGGGGTAGAACAATAATAGTACAATAACAATAAATAATAGTACAACAATAATAGTATTCTCTATCACTAGCTTTACTACTCTGTGGTAGTATTGTGATGTATAACAAGCATGACTGTTTTCTGTTTTTCAGTGTGTTTTAATGCCTCCTAATTTTACTTAACAACTTGACGAGGTTAAAAAAGAACTTGACATGGGCAGTGGCTTCTTGGCTAATATCATTTTTAAAAGACTGTAGGAGTAATAGCACCACTGCAATGTTTTAGACTTCAAAGTAATGCCACATGCTTTGAATTTAATATGAAAAGGCTCCTTAAATTTTTCTGTATTATTAATTCCGTAAGGAATCTTACAAAATTAAACTATGACTAAAATATGATTTAAAATGACTGATTACTTTTCATTATCTTTGAGGATCAATTAATAAAACGTATGAATACACATTTCTGACTCAGAGTAAGCAATGCCACAATTGTCTGATTAGTACCTTTGACTGGTCCCATAAATCATAGCGTGGGTCTGTCAGGAAGGTTGCCGTGTCCGTTATTCTGTTGTTAAACAGCCTGGAAACAAACCCACTTCTCTTATACTTTGATTCATAATGCAGCGATATCAAACATGCAAGCATGGCTGACTTTACACTTTACAGGTATTATGGTTACAATTTCCCCTGAAGATATTTTTTTATGGACTGCAAAAGTTTGTTATTTTTCACTGCTTTCAGTACCATGAACACTTTCAGCCACACAACTCTATGTACAAAACATCCATCCTGTTCAATTCAATTCAAACCTACCTCACTGTTTGGATATAGCTGCTTGTGGAAACGGCACTGTGGATTCTCAGAGCTCCAAGGTCAGATATGTCATTGTTACTGAGGCTAAGATAAAAGGAACAGTCAGGATTGCTGAGAATATTTGATTGACAAGTCAGTGAAACACGTAGAAATATATATCTGATATATATCTGACTGATGTGAAGTATGTATGCTGTATGTTGTTCACTGCACACATTCTCCATTTCAGCTGACTGTAGGATCTGCAGTGGACACTCACTTCAGGACTCGCGCTTTGTGCAGATGTGGGAGCAGCAGCTCCACCCTGTGGTCATTCAGCTGACAGTGACTGAGATCCAGCTTTGACAGCCCCTCTGCCTGCTCCAGCACCGCGGCCAGTGACATGCAAGTTTGGGGGTCAATCAGGATGTGGCTGAGATTCACTTCCCTGCCCAGGACCCTGGAGAGGGAGGCAGCCTGGACTTCATCCCCCACTGAGATCAGACAGAGGAGCTGCTGCAGAAGCTGTTTGCTGATGCTAGGAGGTGACAAACAAACAGGTGACCTTAGCAGGCATCACAGGACATGGTCATGTGTTTTCTGTATGCAGTGCAGCTCAAAATATATCTATGTATAACAATGAAATATAACATTATACAGGACAATAACATATTCTAATTTTAATTATGGGGAGAATGGCATGTTATCAGCAATTTACTTACGCAGCTACTGTATGCAGGTACCCACTGAGCTCTGTGGAATCTAAGGATCTGTAACATCATTTTCATATGTATTAATTAGGTGCTTCTCTTCCTCTACATTAAAAGGCTCTTTATGTGTAAAGCACATATTCAGAGTTTTTCCCTTTGTATAAGTAAACAAACTGCTTTTTTAAAGCTACTTTTGAATGTTGACTTGACTACTTTGCACCAGTTGCTTTTCCTGTCAGGTTCCAGGTACAAACGATGTCAGGTACCTGAAAGGATGAGCAACCTGCGAATATGAGCAGGAGAAAATTCCAGGAACAGCTACAACATTGACTCTGTAGCCCTGCAGACACCAAATAACTTACAAATATTCTACAGTGGAAAGCAGTGAACCACCTTACTTTGTTGTTACATCAATCTACACAACATAGAGCGCCCTCCACAATTATTGGCACCCCTTGTAAAGATTTGTAAAAAGGGTTGGAAAAAATTCACCTTTTGATGAATCAGCTTCATCTCACAATAAATAATTGAGTTAAATCCAACCTTTCATTAACATAAATTTATTCCAAGAAAAATCCTTCATAAAGAAATAATTATTTTTAACAAAAACACATGTGCCATGATTATTGGCACCCCTGCTTTTAATACTTTGTACAACCTCATTTTGCCAGTAAAACAGCACTGAGTCTTCTCCAATAACATTTCCTCTTTACAGAATCTCTCCAGATCATCCAGAGTCCTAAGCCATCTTTTGTGCACTCATCTCTTCAGCTCAGCCCACAGGTTTTCAGTGGGGTTCAGGTCAGGGGACTGAGATGGCCATGGCAGAAGCTTGATTCTGTGGTCAGCTAACCATCTTTGTGTTTATTTGGACATGTGCTTAGGATCACTGTCCTGCTGGAAGATCCAGTGATGGCCCAGTTTTGTTTCCTGGCAGAGGCAGCCAAATTTAGATTTTAAATGTCCTGGTATTTCATGGAGTCCATAGTGCCATGTACCCTAATGAGGTTTCCAAGGACTTTGGAGGAAAAACAGCCCCACAAAATCACAGAACCTCCACCATATTTTACAGTTGGGATGAGGTTAATTTCATTATAGCCATCCTTCTTTTTACGCCAAATCCACCTTGTGTTTATTGCCAAACAGCTCAATTTTTGTTACATCAGACCATTGAATTTGGTTCCATTCAAAGTTGTAGTAGTGTTTCGCAAACTCCAACTGCTTACATTTGTGGTTAACTGGCAAAAAAGAAAGATTTTTCTAGCATACCTTCCAAATAATCTGTTAGCATGATAGTTTTTTCAGAATTATGGTAACCTCAAGATTTTACCTTTTCTTGTAATTCACCAACAGTGATCCTTGGGGATTTTTTACCTTTCTTATGATCCTCCTCACTGTACATGGGGGAAAAATAAACTTGGGTCCTCTTCCAGGCAGGTTTGTAACAGTTCCAGTAGAAATGGGCATTTTAAGGTGAGTAGCTATTTTTTAATACTCATTCCCTGACTTATGAAGGTCAACACACTTCTCCCTCATTTGGTTTGCGTGTTCTGTTATCTTTCCCATGTTGATGGATGACTAAGGGAATTTAGCCCCTATGTCACCTCGTGTTTGTATCCCAGTTAATCAGGAAGTCATGGATTACAGCTTGAAGGTTCCTATTCACTCCGATCAACTCAAAGATGTACAATTTACAGGGGAAACATGCTTCAGTTACGTGCCAGTAATCGTGGTACATGTGTTTTTGTTAAAAATAATTATTTCTTGATGAAGGTTTTTTTTTTTGGAATAAATTTATTTCAGTGAAAGGATGGATTTTTCTCATTTTTTCAGTGTGACATGAAGCTGCTTCACCAAAAGGTGGATTTTTTCTAACCCTTTTTACAAATCGTTACAAGGGGTGCCAAAAATTGTGGAGGGCACTGTATGTTTAAAATACCTTTGTAATATTAACACTGTGTAACATTTGCCCTTTGATAGACACATTCCTTACAGAACCACACTTACTCTAGTTCTGAAACATAGTGCAGACACTGCAGAAAACTCCTTTGTTCATTCTCTTCATTTGGCCAGCCAACAAGCTTTGCTGGTTTCTTCACTGTCTGGAATTCCAGCACTTCATAAAGGGTGGACACCTTTGTCTCAGAGAGGTCTACAACCCAAACTGCAGGAGCTGATTGATAAATTGACTGCAATGCCAGCAGAACATGCTTATATGATGGATTCTCACAGTCTTTCAAAAGTGAGTACAGATCTAGCAGAAAGTTGCTCTGGCGTTCTAAATCATCATCATCATCATCATCATCATCATCATCATCATCATCACTGTTTGTGTCACCAAAAAAAGGGAAAGATGAATAACTGCAGACTGATGAGAGGAGCTGCAGATTCTTCTCTCCTGTCTCTCTGTCACATACTGCTGCTTGAATGAAGAGATTGGCAATGAATCTGATAGCTTCTTCTGAGTAAAATTGCCAACCAGACAATCTGTAATACAGTAAGGAGAATAGTCAAGGCAAATTATATCACTTTAACAAACAGTAAAAAACTAATTAAATGCTTAATGTTCTACTTGCTGTAAGTTCAAAAAGCAAGACTTCATATAGATTAAGCTGTAATCCATTTTTATTTTCATTGTCTTAGCTCTTTATGTCAATATATGAAGTGTTCATACCATTAAAGTGATCAGAGAAATTTTGACAGAATGTGAAATCGTGATGTGACAATGTACAATGTCCACAAAATCACAGTACAGAGCTGACCTCTTTACTGTCCTAATAGACTGATAACATTCATTATCCCTTATAGAATTTAAATATTTAGTGGATCTGTAATATATTCATGATGCAAACGCAGAGTTGGTTACTGACTCTTTACTCTCGGCAAGAACAAATAAAAACAGAATGTGCATGTGCGGCTTACAGTGTTCACAATGGTCCAAACAGCATATGTACCCAATAAAATTGTAATGAATATACCACATCATCTCCCCTTTTAACTGAGTATGACCATCAAAAATGGTTATGAACAGGTTCCACATAACAACAGAGAGTCAGGATGAGCAAACTTGTTTAAAAGAAAACTTTCCTCAACTTAACTCAAATCCCTACAACCTTTTCTCTTGTCTGAGTTTAGACTGTGTAAGTATAATAAGGTCTCATGGCATGTATCGGTTTGATGGTTTGCACACTCTTGTTGAGTGCCTCAGAGCCCCAGGTTCAAGCTCAAGGTGCTCTGGTGTATGCCAAGGGGAGTAAATCCTTTCCTCAGAGCTGAAACTATCCTTAAATTGTTCAAATAGTGATGGAGCACCTTCAGAATCAGGTTCAGCAACAACTCCAGCTCAAAATTGGTCTCCATGGCATCTATGGACCATGTCACTGTCTCACTACCAATCCCAGAATCCACTTATCTCCCCCCACAGTACTACTTAGATACACAGCATCATCCAAATTTAAGAGCCGCTTAGCAGTGCTGCTGTCATGGTGGTCTTTCAGCTAATTCTGTTTCTTACTCCCAATCTCTTTGGGTCTGAAAATGTGCGTGTAGGAACTGATCTGAGTGGCATTGTCCAGTCGTGCAATTAGATGTAGTCTGATATTGCAACAGGAACAGCAAAGTCTTTTCTTCGATGTAGAGGGTGGTGTTGGCCAGCTTTATCATTCCTGCTTTAAAGATCTGGACATACTTCTTAGCTAGACCATTGATTGCTGGATCTCCTGGAGCACTTGTAGTGTGGAGAATTCCATTTTTTTTCACTATGTCTTGGTGCCCAGAGTGAATCTCTCTCAACACTGCTTTCCTCATCTTTGAAGACAACTCATTTGTCCTAGTGGAAAACACCCTCAAGCTTTCCTCGACCTGAGCAGGCCAGTCTTCAATAACATACCTATAAACCCAGGATAACTCACTGTTCGTACACGTCATTCTTGCGACATGTGGCATTCAGTGGTGCTTCTTGTATATGCTCTACCAGCAGTGAGTGAACAGTTGCAGCAGTTCTGTTGTCAGTAGACTGGGCAGAGAACGCACATCAACATTGCTGTGGTCTTCTGACTTGGGATAGATAATGTGGTAGTCATACAAATAAAATCCTCACTTAACCCAACACTTATGTGAGGATGTAATTTGTTGATTTTAGTTCAGCATTAATACAGTCATTCCCCATACGCTGGTCAGCAAACTGAACATTTTTGGCCTGGGCTCCTCTCTGTGTTCATGGGTTATGGACTTCATGACAGACCAACCACAGCATGTCAGAATTGGCAACCACACCTCTGGCACTTTCATCCTAAATACAGGCATCCCGCAGGGCTGTGTATTGAGCCCCATATTCTTCACACTGTTCACATATTACTGCAACCCAATCCATACCTCCAACTCCATAATAAATTTTGTGGATGACACCACAATAGTTAGCGTGATATTGAATGAGGATAAAGCTGCCTACATAATTGAGGTGGATCACCTGGTTCACTGGCGTAGGGACAATGACATGGTCCTTAACACCACAAAAACAAAAGAAATGATCATAGACTTCAGAAGAACTAAGGACAGGAGACCCCTACCCCTACACATACATTCCTGGTACAAAAGGCACAACAAAGACTGTTCTTCCTCAGAAAATCGAAACAAGCCAGACTCCCTTTAAAACTGCTGTTATCCTTCTATACTGGAGCATGCTGCAGACCGTCCTGATGAATTGTGCCACAGTATGGTACACCAGTTGCACTGCAACCAAAAGGAAAGACCTGCACTGAGTGGTGAAGGTGATCCTGCGCTTTGTCGGGATGGATCTCCCTGAATTGGACCCTATCTATGCCAGATGTGGGTAATCTAATTGCCTTAGTCGTACCCTCACGCAGCCCATGTTCGTCTGTTTAGTGAGGGTTACTGTCAGTGTTGGCACCTGTCTGACCCTGCTGCTTTGTGCCCCTTTCTCTGTTTTGACTAGCAGGTGGTTGGCCATCCTGTTCTCTCTTCTGTGGCATAATCCCTTAGCCCTAGTGCTGGGGTGGCAAATCTTATACGCAAAGGGCTGCTGTGTGTGTGGGTTTTCGCTGCAGCTCCCTAATTATGTAACTAATCAGAGGACTGATTGGCTGAGGAGTCCTCACACCTGGGTTTGAACAGCTGACCTAAAGGTTACCCCAAAAACCTACATACACACTGGCCCTTTGCGGATAAGATTGGCCACCGCTGCCCTAGTGTGATCTCCGTGCTCCCGAGCCTGCACCTTGGCTCACTGGGTTGAGTGGCTCAGACCATCCAGCTAGAAACCGGCCTCACATGTTTTATTTTGTTGTTTTTTTCCTAGAGTGTGTTATTGGTTTTGGCCAAGTTGAAACTGTCAGAGACCTATTAGGGTCAGGCCTGCTGTGGATTGGGGCTGGTGTGGTGCTGAGGCACCTGCTGCATGGCGGCACTTGGGTCCCAGTTTGAGGCGACCCCTCTGGGTAGGTGCATGGAACGTCTTGCCTCTCCAGAAAGATGACCATCTTCCTCTGCGGTCAGGGGAGCTTCGCAAACTCCGCGTTTTGGTGGCAGCACTCTCTGAGGTATGCAGACCACAGCGGTGGCCAGATCTATGTAGGTGGGTATACCTACTTTTGGTCTCATCCGTCTGATGGCTGCCATACTCAAGGAGTGGCTATTGCTGTAGCGGATCGGCTCCTTCCAATGGTGTCTGATGTCACTCCATTCAACAAGCGTATTATGAGACTCAGGCTAAGGCACTCCTTCAGGTGTCTTGTTTGTTGTCTCAGTGGATGCTCAGACCGCAGTGAGTGATGTCTCGTTGAGGGAGACATTTTACTTGCAACTTTATTCGGTGGTTGAAGGGTGCCCACGAGGTGACACTCCTCTGGTCATGGGTGACTTCAGTGCATCCAATGGCACTGACAGGGCTGGCTATGAAGATTGTGTCACTCTCCATGGATCTGGAGACTGGGGTGAAAGTGGCTCCATGTTCCTTGACATTTTGAAAGGTCAGGGGCTGCGGGTCACTGGATCCTGGTTCCAACGCCCTGAGCTGCATCGTTAGACTTGATACTCCAATACTGGTGGTGCGACAAAGGAGATTGATCACATCCTTGTGCGCAGACGCTGGAGGCTCCTGCAGAACTGCAGGGTCTACAGAAGTGCCCAGTTTGTGAATTCTGACCACAGACTTTTTGTTGCTACTCTGAAGATTCAGCTTAGATCCAGTAGGCTACCACCTACTAGGAGAATGGGGCTGGACTTAGCCAGACTCCAAGATCAAGCTGTTTCTGATGAGTCTGCACACAATTTGTGT